TTTTTTTTTGTGTCTGTTACCACTTTTTCTTAGCTCTCACCGAACGGATTTCTTTCAACGATACGTCAAAAGATCACAAATCGTATCTAGTCGAAGACATTACCCTTCAAAATTGAAAAAATTTCCCTCGTTCCCCGTAAATGGGGGAAACCTCCAAAAAAATTACAAAATTTAAAAATCGCTAATTTTCGAAATTTTTTCAATTTTTTTACTAAAAACTGCCGTAACTTTTTCAAAAATGAATATATCAATATAATTTTTTTTTTTATAGATGCTTGATATCTTTACATATCATTTGGTATATTTTTTTTGTAAATTTGACACTTAACCTGCCCACAGGGGGGAATTTAAAATAACAACTTTTTCACAAAAAATTAACTTTTTCAACTTAACTTTTGAAAATGTTCCGGAAAGTCCGACACTTTTATATATATCTTTAATTAAAGCTAATGTAATGCACTTTAATTTGAAAAAAAAAAAATTGACCTCTGGACTTGTCTTCATGGTGAAAACGGCTATCGAATGCTATTTTTGTGTGAAAATGTTCGATTTTATAATTGACATTTTTTACTTTAAAGTGCTATAACTTTTTAAAAAATGTATGGATCAATACAATTTTTTCATGAGAAGTAGTATTTATATACATCTTTCATTGGATATACTTTTTTTTTAAATCAGACTATTTCCCTATATATGGGGGGGCTTCAAATATAAAAAATGCATATAGAAAGTAGAACTTTTTCAACTTAACTTTTGAAAGTGTTCCGGAAGGTCTGACACTTTTATATATATCTTAAATTAAAGCTAATGTAATATACTTTAATTTGAAAAAAAAAAATTTGACCTCTGGACTTGTCTTCATGGTGAAAACGGCTACCGAATGCTATTTTTGTGTGAAAATTTTCGATTTTATAATTTACATTTTTTACTTTAAAGTGCTATAACTTTTTAAAAAATGTATGGATCAATACAATTTTTTCATACGAAGTAGTATTTATATACATCTTTCATTAGATATACTTGTTTTTTAAATCAGACTATTTCCCTATATATGGGGGGGCTTAAAATATAAAAAATGCATATAGAATGTTTAACTTTTTCAACTTAACTTTTGAAAATGTTCCGGAAGGTCTGACACTTTTATATATATCTTAAATTAAAGCTAATGTAATATACTTTAATTTGAAAAAAAAAAATTTGACCTCTGGACTTGTCTTCGTGGTGAAAGTTGACATCAAAGTTAATAAAAAATTACGATTTTTGTAAAATAATTTTTTTTTATATTTTTAACTTAATAATGCTCTAACTTTTTCAAAAATGAACATATCAATATAATTCTTTTTTATATAGATGCTTGATGTCTTTACTTATCATTTGGTATATTTTTTTTGTAAATCTGACACTTAACCTGCCCACAGGGGGGGATTTAAAATGACAACTTTTTCACAAAAAATTTACTTTTTCAACATAACTTTTGAAAATGTTCCGGAAGGTCTGACACTTTTATATATATCTTAAATTAAAGCTAATGTAATATACTTTAATTTGAAAAAAAAAAATTTGACCTCTGGACTTTTCTTCACGGCGAAAATGGCTACCAAATGCTATTTTCGTGTGAAAATTCTCGATTTTATTATTCATATTATATTTAACTTTATAATGCTATAACTTATTGAAAAGTTTATGGATCCACACAATTTTTTTATGAGAAATAATATTTTTTAATAAACCCTTTTTCATTCGACATACTTTATCTTAATCGAGATATTAATAAGAAACCAGCAGATCAAGTAGCTTTTGGAATAAAACACCAATTTTTTTAAAATTAAACACTATCTAAAGATTTGCATCGAAGCGTTTATTTTTAATAGTGATTTTAATCACTGTCAGATATCATTATACTTGATCCAACTATGCCACGTCACCACTGTGCCGCGACCCCCCTGTGCTGGGTTTTTTTCTTCTATTGTTTGTTAAAGTTAAACAATTTTTGAACAATTTTTTACTTTTATAATTTGCTCTTTCGAATAAAATAGTCGTCATTGCTTCATTATTTCATATAAAAAAGTTTTTTTTGTCAATTCTTGTTATTAATCTGTCTCTTACCATAGCAATAATTTATAATCCAGTGAAACAGTTTATTGTTCCGTCCAGTGAGGGTCTAAACAATAGGAATGATATTTTAATGATCGTTATTTAATAGGAATAATATTTTTTACACCCGTATTACTTCGGAAATTATTTATTATTCCCGAGAATAGTATTTGAAAGACTAATATATTTGAGAAAAATATTTTGTAGGAAATGTATACACACTAATATACATTGATAGGGAAAATATTAATCGGTAAAATATACTTCCAAAATCAAAAAAACAGGGCATTAATAATCTGAAAAATATATTATCAAATAATAATAAATAATAAATTTTGTCTATAAATTAAAATTAGTTCGTTGTTAAAATAATATAAATAACTTAATAAACTTAACTATTTAATGGGCAAAAAAGAAAACCCCGCACAGTGGGGACGTGGCATAGTTGGGTGCAGTATAGATTTAATCTGACAGAGATAAAAATCACTAACATAAGAAACACTTCGATGCAAATCTGTAGATAATTGTTAATTCTAAGAAATTGATAGATAATTATAAAAGCAACATCAACTATTTCCTTAATTTTATCCAGATTAGTAATTCAAAAGATAAGTAATATAAACTTATATATTATATAATTGTTATATTGAATTGATTACAAATTATTGTAGTGAATCAAAAAAAGAAAAATAATAATATATATTTATTGTATTATTAATATAAAAGGGGTTATTAATTTGGGGAGCTACTTTGACAGTTGCTTAAAATAAATAAGTTAAATAGAATATGACGGGATTTTGATTCTTATTTGATCCACTACTTTATTGTATTAATAATATTATTACTCGGGGTATGAGTAAGAGGGTCTGTAAGAAATATAGAAGATGATAGAAAAATAAAGTGATCTTTATTTTATTAATATGGGATTTATCATAATTAATTGTCGATTCTTAAATATCAATAACGCCACGAGTTTTGACGGTTATCGATGATAGGTGGGATTGAGTCACCTCGTGTGTCTACCCAGAGTGGTATGGTGGCTATACATATGAACCTCCAACCTAACTCCTGAAATAGACACGTATCAACGATATAACTCTACCAAGTAACTCTGTACAAACATTATCGATTTATTAAATTTATTTGGTATATTTATTATTATTGATAATCACTTGATTTTCCTATATGCCTACTTAATCTATGTACTCATAATATTTAATTCTAAACCTTATTTATTTTTGGTGAATTTATTAGATTCCTACCTTGATATTTTCTGCTATACTCTTAAATAAATAGATGTTGTGTTTTTCTTTGAACAAATATAACTGTGTTGACGGCGGATCACTTCTTGCATATATTTCGTTGTATGGAATGATCGAGCGTAGTGAGTACCTCTGTGAATATCTGACTGCATCTGTCTCAGAATGCTCTTTATTATGGCTTTTTATATTAAATTTGACCGTAGTTCAAAGGCAAGAAGTTGTCGTAATATGCACAATGATTTGCATTAAGCATATCATCTTTATTTTCGACCCTGGAGGTTAATATTTAATATAATTTTAAAATTGTTTTATGATCATTAGAAAAAAAGAAATGTTTATATCAGTATATATTTAAAATTTCTCTATTTTTAAGTCAAATAAATATGACACATTGTATTACTTATACGTAAATTATTCATAATTTATAAATTATTATAAATATACAAATCATATGAAAGCACAACTTTCATTAATGATTTAAATGAGTTAATGAAATATTCATTTACCATATTTAATATTTTTATATTATACATATTTAATTACATCATGTCTGCGTGTAAACATTGAATATCTTAATATGTAATTCTATATTTCACAAAATTGTACTATTTATAAAATCAGTAATTGTAATTTTATAATTGGATCGTAAAACAAATAATTTTGTAAAAACATCACAATTGTAAAGCAAGTTTCACCTATTTCAAATCATTATAAAATACAAAAGATCAATGTGAATTAAGAAAATACAATGCATACTAGTAGTGGTAGATAAAATAATTAGTTCAGCAATGATGAATCAGTTTCACCAGATAAAGACTTCGAAATTCAAATTATCAGTAAAAAACAAGGCATAAAGTGCTTTAACAATATCAGTACACATGAAGAAAAACAAATTAAAGAAATCTATTCGTGTTTTCAAAATTTATTTGAATTTGACATTCATGAATTCAAAAGATATATACAACTAAACCAACTAAAAATGTGAAGTTCAAAGACAAAGAAAAATAATAGATTTTCACATCGAATAGCACTTCTATAATTATCATTTACAGAACCAAATAGCAATACCTTATAATTACAAAAGCAAAAATTCTAGAAGAACGAAAAACGTCTGAACTTATTATTTTAAATGACTGTATGGAGAGAACAGGAAAACGATTTATCAGATAACATAATTTATTTTTTGTATTAATATTATCACTATTATTTTTGCATAAATGTAAACAAAAATTATATATTGTCTTATCTATCTTTTACCAACATACATACTTATACACTATCATACTATTATTTTTTTTTTTGTATTCTATAATATTTTTTTTTTTAATTTTTAATCTTAATCATTCAAATTCAATTGCTCATGTTATTAACTTTTAACTATTTATATTATCTACTAATATTTAATATTCACATAATAATTATTATATATCATAAATACTAAATTTATTAATCAACCTTTACTATACAATTATTCTTATTATTTTAATCAATTTTTTGCCTATGTTAAACGATAGTTGTGAGGGCATAACACTTAAAAAAATTAGGGCGGATTTCGTAATATGCACAATGTTCTGCATTACGCATCTTACATTATCAATAAAAAATTATTACTCTATATTTAATACCAATTGTATACAACACAAATAATTAATTTATCTGTCATAACATATACACATTTGTACACTAGCTATTATATATGTATACAGGGTGATTTTTTTATCATAACCCACTCAATTACTTGCAGAATAATAATAATTTAAACATTTTTTTGTTTTATTATCTTTAGTTACACATTATTCTTGAATTTTTAACTATTTAATACTTTTTAAGTTCATCCCTTATGCCTTGGAAGGGGGTCAACTTTGTTTTTTTAAATGGTAACACATATTTTTAATTTAATAAAATGTTTGAGTTTTTAATTTAATAGTAAATGGCATTTGAATTTTTAATATAACTTAATTCGTTTATTAGATATAATCATTTAAAGTTTCAAATTTTTGAGTTAATATACAGGTATAATACACAAGGGATTACAAATACAGGTAGCTAATTGGTTTTTTATGACATCGATATTAGCAGGTACACAGCATTGTTATTATCAATGATAGTAAGGTACATTGTTGTGAGTTTATAAATACACTAACTGACAATACAAAAAGTATATCTATTGATAGTCATAATTGATAATAAACAATCCGTGACTGAGACAGCAATGTCATAAAAATCCAATTAGCTACCTGTATTTACAATCCCATGTGTATTATACATGTATATTAACTCAAAATTTTGAAACTTTAAATGTTTATATCTAATAAGCTAATAAAGTTATATTAAAAATTCAAATGCCATTTACTATTAAATTAAAAACTCAAACATTTTATTAAATTAAAAATATGTGTTACCATTTAAAAAAACAAAGTTGACCCCCCTCCAAGGCATAAGGGATGAACTTAAAAAGTATTACATAGTTAAAAATTCAAGAATAATGTGTAACTAAAGATAATAAAACAAAAAAAGGTTTAAATTATTATTATTATGCGAGTAATTGAGTGGGTTATGATAAAAAAATCACTCTGTATACATGTTAAATTGAATATTGTATACTATGCATNTATATACATGTTAAATTGATTATTGTATACTATGCATCTTATCTTAAAAATAATTATCATGTTATGTTCAAATTTTACACAATAAACTGAAAATCACTAAAAGCGCTGACGGCAACAACCTATGAAGGGGGTAATTAAAAATAATATAAAAAGGCTTAATTCTGCTTGCACATCAGTGAGCAAGCTTGCCAGCGAGCGGCTAGAATTCTCTCTTCTTTTTGAAGATTTGAATTCAATAAGGAATTCAGGATTCTTCTATTTGATTTATTTTGAACAAACTAGCCGCGACCCCGTGTTGTCGTCGGTATATTTTATAGCGATTTCAAGTACAATTATTTTTGCGTCAATACGTTATTTATTTATTAATAAGGAAAAGTATAAATCTGAACGTGAGATATATAAAAGAAGTAAGTAAATTTATATTAACCCAATTATTTAGAATTAATAATCTGAGTAAAGAATGGTAAAGCAATATATTTTTTAAACATCATTTAATTTAATTATTAATAACTAGTTAGTGCTTGGTCATATACATCGACTGGGTGTCTGAGAGGAGGCCTCCGCCATTCCATGAACGCCTCAGCATTTCCACTAAAGCACATACCAGTTAACATCACGCTTCGACTGGGTGTCAGATAGGAGGCCAAGACCCCGGCCACTACAAGAATACCTCAGCGTTTTAATACCTCTATGAGAGGAACTTAATTTGTATCTTTTTATATCTACTTGTCTTTACTGTTCTAAACCCTCGGACTCTACAACCCCGATAGAACCTCGTTGCTCCTGAATTGACCAAATCCCTAACATCCAACTTTGGTCAAAATAAAATAAATTCCCCATACATCTTTTTTGCTTATTTTTGTATTACTACAAAGTGATCCCCGACGCCACCGTTAATTATTTATTAATCGTAATTTATTACATGTTATTTATTACATTTTCATCAATAATAATCTACATATTATAAAATAATATCATATCTTATATAATAATTTAGACATAGTTTATTACCCTACATCTTATTTGCTACCATTACATATTGTTTATTATTTCCTGTTTGTTTTATATAATTATTATACGATCTTTTTCGACGAAATTTCATTAGTATTTTTAAACATTTTAAAAAGTACATCTATATATCTTGTTTTTATTGGTATACATTTTATTTTGTTTAATTGATTGATTGAAGTCTTAAATAATACATTATGACATTAATGATCTAATGTGTATACAAATAATTTATTATGACATTAATTATGTACTATGTATATCATTACATTATTATTGATATTGATTTTTAATATGTTAAAAGTAATAACTTTTAACCTTCTTTATTTCGTCCTTTACCACTTTAAACTTTCACTTAATTTTTTTTTTTTTAAACTGCCATTACTTTTTCAAAAAATGAACATATCAATATAACTTTTTTTTTTATAGATGCATGATGTCTTTATCTATTATTTAGTATATTTTTTTCATAAATCTGACCCATTATATGACCACAGGGTGGAATTTAAAATGACAAATTTTTCACAAAAAGTTTACTTTTACACTTAACTTTTGAAAGTGTTCTGGAAAAATGAACAGTTTTATATATATATATATATATATATATTAAATTTAAAAAAATGTAATGTACTTTATTATGAAAAAAAAAAAATTTCGAACTTTATTTTGTCTTCACGACGAAAATGCCTACCGAATGCTATTTTTGTGTGAAAATTCTCGATTTTATAATTTACATTTTTTACTTTAAAATGCTATAACTTTTTAAAAAGTGTATGGATCAACACAACTTTTTTATGAGAAATAATATTTTTTAATAATCCCTTTTTCATTCGACATACTTTATTTTAATCAGGATATTTATAAGGAAATAGCAGATCATGTAGCTTTTGGAATAATCCGCCATTTAATCACCACTGTGCTGTGACCCCCCTGTGCTGGTTTTTTTTTACTTAAAACTGCTATAATTTATTCAAAAATGATCAAACCTATATAATTTTTTTTTTATATTGAAATCTTAGATATTTATCTTTCATTTTATATAATTTTTTTGAAAATCTAACCCTTTACCTGTCCACAGGGGGCTTTCAAAATAGCAACTTCTGCACAAAAATTTAACTTTTTAAACTTAAGTTTTGAAAATGTTCTCGAAATACTCCGAGCTTCATTTATATGTTAAAATAAAGCTAATATTATATACTATAAGTTTAAAAAAAAATTTGTCCCGCCACCTTTTCTTCTATAAGAAAATGGCCGTCGAATTTCACGAAACTTATAATTTTTATGTAAAAATCACTGTTTAACATGAAATATTTTAATACATAAAACTGCCATAACTTTTTGAAAAATGAACAAATTAAAATTTTTTTTTTTATATTGAAACCTTAGATATTTTTCTTTTATTTGATATAATTTTTTTGAAAATCTGACTCTAAACCTGCCCGCTGAGGGAATTCAAAAAAACAATTTTCGCACACAAGTTATGCTTTTTCAATAAAAGTTTTGAAAATATTTCGGAAATGTTGACACTTTTATTTAATTTTAAATTATAGCTTACATTATTATATAGAATAAAGTTCATAAGACATAAGAAGTTTAATT